ATCAATGTCATAGGTCTGTGTGTACCCTTTTGCAACAAGTTTGGCCTTATACTTTTCTATACTTCCATCTGCCTTATATTTGACTGTGTAAATCCATCTACATCCAATAGTCTCCTTGCCCTCTGGTAGTTCCACAATCTCCTATGTCTGATTCTTAATTAAAGTTTCCATCTCTTCCTGCATAGTTGTCTTCCATTCAGGTTTGGAGAGAACTTCATTGACACCCTTGGGTATAGACACGGAGTCAAGAGAGGAAAGAAAAGTTTGGTAGGAAGGAGAAAGTCCACTATAGGATAGGTATTGTAAAATACAATGAGCAATACACTTTCTCTTTCCTTTTCTAAGAGCAATAGAAAGGTCTAGGTTATTTATAATGGGGTTAGTATAATCAATGGGAACTGAAATAGTAGAGGGATCAAGAGGAATACCTGAATCCGTATCAACTGAATCTAGAGTCTCCAAGGAACCGACAAGAAGTGATGTGAGTTCTGCCATAGTGGAATCAACCACCCTGTGAAGTCTCTACCATGAGTAACGCTGAGAAGTAGGACATAAGGGAGGTGGTAAGGTAGGTGACATAGGAGGATCAGGCACAGGAGTGGACACAAGAACTGGAAGAGGGAGATTGCTCACTCACTTCCCCAAAACACTCCCCCTGATAAGGATTCTTCGAGAAGAAGTATGTGGACTCAAAAAAAGTGACATTCATAGTAATATACCGACTCCCAGAGACTAGATCATAGCAGTAGTACCCTTTCTGATTTTCTGCATATCCAACGAAGACACACTTCTTTGCCTTCGGATCAAGCTTGGAATGGTGAGGATCAAGAATATGTGCAAAGTAAACACACCCAAATACTCTGAGAGGAATATAGAACATCTCGCCCTCAAGAAAAATGAAGCTAAATAGAGTGTTGAATCCAAGTATATGGGAAGGTACCCTGTTAATAAAAAATACTGTTGTGAGAACTGCATCACCCCAAAACCGAACTGGAACTGTAGATGTGATCATCATGCTTCTTGCAATCTTAACGATGTGTCTGTCCTTCCTTTCTGCAACACCATTATGTTGCGGACTGTAGGAACAACTGCTATAATGGACAACACCATATTCTAATAAATATGAAGCAAGGTGTTTTTCAAAATATTCCCTAGCATTGTCTAATCTAAACACATTTATTCATCTTCCAAATTGTGTTAGCACCACCTGATGAAATTGCCTTACCAAGAATGGTACCTCATCTCGGGATCTCATCAAGTAAATCCAAGAATATCGAAAGAAATCGTCCACAAATAAGAAAAAATATCGATAACCACTCATAGAAGGAACATGATAAGGTCCCCACACATCAGAATGAATAACATCAAAAGGAGATGAGCATCTTTTATTACTTACTTTAAAGGAATGTCTACAATACTTTCCAAGTTGACAACCATCACACTCCAGACTTGACAAACTAACAGACTCAAATAGCTTTGGAAACAAAAGACTCAAAGAAGAGAAAGGCAAATGACCTAAACGATTATGCCAAAGCATAATCTAACTCACAGACCCCGACTCACTGTCCCTGCTGACATGATGACTCGGATGAGGAAGCACATCCAGGAGATAGATTCCATTCACTTCACGACCACTCCCAATTGTCCTCTCTGAATCCATATCCTGCAAGATACAATGACTAGGAGAAAAAATTACTGAACAGTTTAGGTTCTTAATCAAACTATTAATAGATAACAAATTAGTACTCAATCTGAGAACATGAAGGACAAAGGGAAGGGAAATGGAATTACTAATCATGACATACCCCTTTCCCAACAATGGAAACATGAGATCCATTAGCTATGGAAACCCTGTCTCTTCCAAAACAAAACTGGTAAGAAGAAAAAATAGTGGAACTATGGGTCATGTGCTTTAAGGCTCCAAAATCTATAATCCAAGGAAGTCCCTCCTTACCTGAAGTAGAAACATAATTTGTAGTGGCATGTAAACTACCTGTGTGAGCAAAGGAAGTAGAGTGTGCTCCACCAAAACTACCTATATTTGGCTGTCCATCTGTTGCTAAACTAGAACTGGTTGTATCCCGCTGGTTCAGAAACTACCCATTCCTCTTAAGTTCGGCCCTTACTACAACAGTTGCAATAGACTCCAGAGTAGTTATAGTAGGAGGGGCCGGAATGTCACCAGTGACTATAATGTGAGCATTTCCCTTTGTTATTTTTTGAGTCTATTCGGCACAAGATGGGGATGAAACTTTCAACAAGTATCTCTTGTGTTTTTAGGCTTCTTACAATAGTCACAAGTCAAATCATTTTTGTCTTCCTTCTTGATTTCACTATCACCCTGGTCTCCACCTTGTTTAGGTCTCACAGTGCTAACCATGACTTATTGATCAAACCTAGAATTTTTCATCATCACATTCTCCTGTTCTCTTCCCCTAACACAAAGGCATATGCCTGGAAGAGAGTAACACTATCCTTGGAAAGAATGTGTTGTCTTGCAATATCATATTCGGGGTTAAGGCCAACAAGAAATTCAAACACCCTATACTTCTCTAAGAGCTTCTGGTAGGTAGTTGCATCCTTAGTGGTTTCCCAAACAACTGTCTCCAAATGGTCAATCTCCTGCCATAGGGTTTTAAGGGCTAAAAATTTAACAAGTCTATCTCCCTACCTTGTAGCAATAATTTGATTTCTCAACTGATAAGTCCTACCAACATTCTCACTTTGTGAATAGGTTTCTACAACCCATCCCATATTTTTTTATCTGTATTTGCCTACAAAAAGTTTTTACTTATATGAGGCAGCATGGAATTACATAGCCAAGTCATCACCATATAGTTCTCTTGTACCCACCGAGAGATGTTAGTTTTGGGTTTCACTTCTTCACCAGTGATATACCCTAACTTCCCACGAGCACCAATGGTCATCTTTGCAGATTGTGACCATTCTAAGTAATTCGAACCATTCAACTTAACTATAATAATGGTTCCAACCCCAAAAAAGTCTCCAACACCTTCTCTCACTGTTCTCATTTCACTCTCGGGCTTGTTTTCAACTCCGTTACCCTCCATACTTCTCAAAAAGGGGATAAAAGATTACTGTAATATGCAAGAATATCAAATAAATCACTTTTGGTACCAACGACACCCTTTTGGTGCCCTAAATGGTCCTCTCACAAAAGATTCCTTTTTTACAAAACGAGAGAAGAGAAAGAAGAAGCAACCGCTCTCTCTAAAAACCTCCAAATCAGGCAAGACTTGAACCACCCCTTACAGAAAACTCCAAGGAACCCTAAAAAATTAGGGTGCCACTTCATAGGTCAAAACTGAAGAGTCCAACAGAAACATGACTCTCCCCCTTTCTCCAGTTTTTCTTGATTTTGATAAGAAACCCTAGACCAGCTACAGGGCAAAACAGATCCACCAAAAAATCCAAAAACTAGGCTTACCTGAGATCTTTGATCATCCTCTTAAATCACCATGTAGTCAACAGATCTATGACTGCATGAGAGAACAGTTCAAGGAACCTTCAGCCTGCTCTGATACCAAGTAGAAATCACTGTTTGGAAATCTAGATGAATTCCTTGTGAAGAGAAAGAAGAAGAAGATAAATAGTTTCAACAGTAGAGAAGAAAAAAAGAGTAGGATGTCAACCAAAATTGAATTAGGTATGACCACCAACCCCTCATTTTATTTTATACTTAACTTGAAAGAATAAGAGATTACAAGAATGCCCTTAATAGGGCAGCTACTAAAGTAGCTGAACAGTCACAACTTAAAAACATAAGCTAATGGGCCTAAAGCCCAACAACTTCCTAACTTAACAACTTAAAAAATAAGAGCTAAATAACTGGGCCCAATAACTAGAAATCGGCCCAATTCAACAAAAGTCTTACCAAGCAAGCTTTGTGTCTATTGCAGCTTGGTAAAAAGCATGGAGGAGGTTCTACTGCTCAAAAATACCCACCATTGCACCATTGAGCATAAATGGTGAACTAATGCCCATCATTAAATCTACTCTATTTAAAATCACAAATCCAAACTTAGAATTAGACCTGATGTGGGATTACAACCCTGTCAAAAATGACCCGTCTTTGACTGTCAATGCCACCCAAGAGTTTCCCATTTAGATGGAAACACTAATAAAATATTCTAAATTTGAGAAACAAACAGCAGTTTTCTTTTGTCAAATGGTGAACTATGTTTGGATAAGCTTTTGCTTTTGACCATGGATAAATCTAATACAATAGAAAAATGAAACTATTAATTCTAGTATCATGCTTCATGAATTTACCTGCACACAGCATTTTCTCTATTACAGAGTTCTAATTATCTCATGAAAGTTGTTAAGAAAAACTGGTTTATTGCTGAGTGTTAGCATGGATGACCTTATGGGCATTTGGGTCTGAGTTCACTTGGCTGCATTAAGACAATCTTAAACTGTTAAAAACACAGAGACCTCACAATGTCGACTTCGTTTGGTAATCGTTGCTGCAGAAATGTAACCACTTGGGTATGGTTCACTTGATGCCAAGTTAGACTCCAGTGAGCAGGAGCTAAAAAATTGGAGCAATTAATTTGGACAGGAAATTTCATGAGTGTTGTTAAGCTTTATTGGTGGAAGAAATACGCATGTGGGCTATTCTCTTGCCATCTTTTTACAGTCATATTGCTACATTGAAATTTAGGAAACTTAAAAGTTAATGACCATGTTCTTTGGAGTTCTGCAACACGTTACACTGTTACAGACTTACAGTTAAATGACCATGTTCTATTTTCCAGAGCAAATTTCATACACCATGATCACAAACTTTTTGGCCTCCATCAACAACTGAAATGCCTTCACCTTTGACCAAGCATTCAATCACATTTGAGAATGTGTAGCAGAAAGCCAGAGACATTGCCTTCTTGGCTTCATCCAAGAGTCTTGAATTTTGACCCCTTCACTCTAGTTATTCAGATTATAGTTTCGCTCAGAAAATTATTGTTATTTCAGAGTTCGAGAAAACTGATGATGTTTTAAGCATGCAAGCTGATACAAAGATGGTGTATTCGACATGCACAAAGCAGAAAACAACTTTACAGATCTCAGAATAGAAGAAAAGTAGAGGCTCAGAACAAGATTAAGAAACACAAATTAGTTTGATGACAAGTAACATTCCACCTAGAAGATCAACAAAATTGACTTTTTCTTTCTCTTTCTTTCTTTCTTTTTTTTTCTTTTTTTTTTTTGGAGGGGGGGGGGGTAATTAAGTTGTACAAGAATATTGGGGTACAAGTAAACTTCTTTGCCTCACTAAATCATGAAGATCCTGAACGATCTTAAAAACTGCATCCGGTCGTGCTAGTTTCAATGCATTCTGAGACATGGCCTTGAGCTCATAAGCCTTTGGACCAAACCATTCAGCAACAATATTAGCTATTTGTTTTGGTGACTTCGAGAACTTCCCACATCCATTTTCCACCACAAATGGCACATTTCCAACTTCCTGCAAAATTAAAAGTTAATCTCAGTATTAAATGCTTTAACTTAGCAGGGCAAATATTTCAGAATGCATGCACATTGAAGCATTAACAGGACAGGGCAAATGTTCCAGATTAATTGACTAATCATAGTTGTCAAGGTGTCAAGGCAATGGATTTTGAAAATAAAAGGCCATTAACCTATGTTGGTCCAAGATATGTGGGGTCTTGGGACGGGATACTGAAGACATAACTGTTGACAATTTCTTGCACAAAGTGGCTGCTTGCAGACTTGAACACACATTACACTTATCAGCCTGAGATTTTACCATTATTACCAAGCAATGGTGTTTTGCATGGAACTATCATCTATACTAGCAGTTAGCAAAACTATTCATCAAATAACTACAAATTTCATATTGAAACATAGAAAATTATCATAACCATGAAAAGAAAGACATTGCTGCCTGAAAGACATGGTACTAGAATGGCAAAACAGGATTCATGAAGCCAACCCCATATAGTTGGGAAAAGGCTTAGATGATAATAATGAATTCCAATATTTTACATATAACATTGCAATATAATAATAAGAATTCAGTAAAGCAACTATATAAAAAAAATAAACTAGTGAAGAACAAAGAAGACGAAGAGCAACCCCTGTTTGTGTCCCAGAAAATAAGGGGTGTCTGCCACCATATTTTTCCTATAAAAAGAAGGGAGCAAGGCCAGAAAAGAAGAACGAGATTATTAAGAGCAGAGACCTTGTTTCAATCCAAGAAAAAGAAGAGAACTCAGAAAAATACTCAAAAATGCAGGAAATGGGTGGTGCCCCTGTGTTAGTCCAAGAAAAGAAGAAAGACCAAGTATCCAAAGTTCAATTAATTGAGTTTCTATTATAGTCTGAGCATTGATTAAACCCTAACCAAATACAATAATAAAAACTAGGTAGTAAATAAGATGTAAAAATGGTTTAGTGTAGCAGGACCTATTCTAATTATAAACTTGCAATATAAAAATACTAAAAATTTATGAAGCACCCAGCTTGGCTTTAGGTGCCTGCCTTATTGCCTAGGGAAGCACCGAATTCATTGGGCATGCACCATATGGAAAACTTCATGGCATTTAGGCAGGACAACCCTTTGTCAGCACCTAGTTGCCTTCACAACTATGTGACTGATAATAGATCATTTTGATGGTCCAGATCTTTGGCTTATATTTCATTCATCACTATAATTTTTGGAAATTTTAGTTTGGTTTACTTGAATTTCCAAGATTAGTAATCTTGGTACAGTGTTTGGATGGCCAAAATTAATTCTTTGCTCTCGGGAGACCAGTTTGATAGCCTGAATTTTTGGGTTGATTCAATACAACATTTGGACAACCCAATTTAGTTGAAACTTTGGTATATCACTTGGATAGTTGAGATTAGTTCACTGATCATAGGAACCCACTTTGATGGACTAGATCTTTGGCCTTGTTGGTTACATCATTCGGTTGGGTTTGATTAGATGAAATTTTGGTACATCATTTGGATGGTTGGAATTAGTTGATTGATTTTAGGATGCCACCTTGAGGCCCAGATTTCAGGTGTCATATGGTACATTACTTTATTTAGCTTAGATTTTTTAGAAAGCTTGGTAGTTTACTTGAATGACAGATTAATTAAAATCTTGGTACATTGCTTGGATGACCATGATTAATTCTTTCCTCTTGGGAGACCATTTTGATGGCCTAGAATTTTGTGTTGATTTCCAACTCCATCCCAGAATCCAAATAGAACCCTAAGTAATGTAAAGGTAATAAAGTAAAACCAAAATTTACCTGCCCAGCAATATAATCATTAAGAATTATAGGCAGGCCACGTATCATAGCTTCTGCAATAGTTCCAGGTCCCGCCTAGATATAACAGTTCACAAATATAACTACAATATGGACAAAATGTCAAAAAAAAAAAAAACTCCAAATATATGATGAATTTACCTTTGTAATAATGCAATCACAGGCCCCCATGCACTCTTCCATTTTAGTAACAAATCCCTTAACCTGAAAATGAGTTCCATCTTCTAGTGTAAGGCAGCCACTTGTTGCAACAAAAAGAGGTAATATATGAAACACCTAATTCAATAAGATAATAATGAACCATTTATCATTACGTTTCTATCTTAATTTCCCATATTACAAATTCTATAAGTTGGTCCACCATCATATCTAGGCCTGTTCACTGGCCAGGCTTCGGGCTCAGCATAACATTTTACAGTGTTTCAAGCTCAGGCTTTGGGCTGGGCCCATTCAAATTCTTGCAAAATCTCAGCCCAAGCCCGGCCTGGCCCATGAATAGGTCTAATCATATCCTGGCTTAGATGGTTGTTCTATCAGTCTCATATGGGGGGATGAGGGATTAAAACTTCATAGAAAGAAAGGATTCCTTAAGAGAGCAGTTGTGCCCTCTGTGGAATCCATCTTTCCCTTTTGTATCGTGGAGGTAACATAGAGAGATAGCTCTAGCATCAGCACCCTATCCAAGTAGACACTAAGGTTGCATTATCTAAAAAAACATGGGACTTTGCAAGATCTAATGTATAAGTTGGCAATTAGGGTAATGTAAATAGATATAAAAGTTCTAATTGGTATCTCCAAATTGGTCTGTACCTCCCCCCCACCCCNAAAAAGTCCATGGTTCAGAGTGAACAATCTAAATATGGTTTAAATCTTCCTTGGTTTTAGGTCTGAAATTTTGACCTAACTGAACCTGAATCGGCATTTAGAAAAAGATGTAAACCTGAAAGGACTGGCTTCAGGTTGACGGTGCCTCAACCCAATTTAAATTCAGGTAAGTTTCTCGTTGGTCAACCTCAACACATCGCAATATTTAAATAATTTGACTAACCAATTACCACCTCTAATTGAAATTAAAATTAAAATTCAAAGTTGAGGTCATTTATAATATCAAGTGGGAACATAGGAACTGCTATGTTTATGAAAGTTGATCTTAGACATACCTGAACAGGAATCTTCCAGTCAATTGAAAGCAATCTATTTGCAAGTTTTTTATTACGGCCACAAATCACAAGAATCTGGCCAACCGGTTCCCCAAGACTCTCATCATACAATGTATTTCCAAGAGCCCGAGCAGTATCCTCAATAGGGCCCATGCCTTCTCCACCACCCATAAGTAACACAGCAGGAAGATCCTCATTCATTCCTAGTTCCCTCCTTAATTCAACCTAGTTACAAACAAGAAAATACACTGAAGCTCAACATTAAATTCAATCAAATATAAAGTAAAAATTGAAGAAACAAAATCTGAGCAAAATTTAATGTAATCACATAGCCAACCGATTCTACAACCAGAAGTATGCGATGGATCAGGTAGTATGATTAATCTAAGCAGGTTAATTATAGGGTGGTTATCAGGCCTTTATTTTCCCTCCATGGTTTTGAGAGAACCATAGTATGAGACTCCAAAATAGTTATCATTAGGAAATACCTGTATTGGACCACAAAGCCGAATACTTCATTGGAGAGCAAGATCCATAGTTGTCAAGGTGACAAGGTGCCTATGGAGGGTCACCTTTCTATTTTGTAATTTGTACATGGTGCTCTTATATACTTTTATATTCTTAACTTTTTGAGATTATAATAAAAAAAAGGACATTATCAAACTAAATTATTCTATTTGTGAGTTAAAATACTAGTTTCTTCTTAATATTTTCTTATTTGTTAGAGTTCAATCAATACACATGTTGGTGTGCTGTCTTGAACCTTCAAATACTTCAAATCCTGAACCAATAAGCAAGGAAGAACTTAACATTTTGTTCAATCATCAAATTTCTGCTTCTTCTTTCACCCTTTCTTTTCTTCTTTTCCTAGGACAAAAACAAGGGCTCAGCCCCTTCTTTTCTTTCTTCCTTTTCTTCTCATAAATATGTTGGTTTTCTATGTTTTAATATGGTTTATACATTTTTTTATGAAGATAATAGAAAATTGCTACTGAAAGATTACTGGTTGCTATGGAACCTAGGGAATTACCCTAGATTCATAGTTTTTTATTTAAAAAGTCTATCACCTAGTGCAACTAGGCAACAAGGCACCCCTATTACCTAGGCTTACCTTGGGACCTTGAAAACTATGGCAAGATGTTTGACAACTTTCTCTAGCAAAAGCTAATCGTAATTGAACTAGCCTATGTAAGAATCCAAATGAGTAACATGTTCAATTTGTTAGCTCAGATAGGACAATGAAACTGACACTAATATGGGAAAAGTGGATAAGACTCTTCACTTCTCAAAGTCCAAGGCAAAACATGAGCGTGAATATCTCATCTATTCTGCTGATACTGTGCTTTTAGTTTTAAACCTATTTATCTCTTAGATGATTATGCTCCACTCAATTGAATGTTCTGACATTTATAAAGGTTATATAGTGAAAGTTCAAAATTGGTATAGGTTTCATGTATTTTTGTTGGCAAAGCAAGCATGCAGGATAGAAAATAACAACTTAAGTTACATAAAAGTATCCATGCAGTATCCAGTGTCATATTCAGGTATTATATCATGTTGACACGAGTATGCTGAACATACTGAGATATCTGGGTATATTAACAAGAGACACCATGTGTTGAACATAAGCAGTAAATTGCTCTTATGATCTGCCCAACATGGACCTTAGATCTCCTCTTAAGACACTGCATGCAAGAAAGCTAGAATACAGTGGTAATAAAAGCAACAAATGCATACAGAAAGAAGGATCATCAACCTTGGGTCGAACAGGCTTGACAAAAGAAGATCGCACAGGGAGGCCATAAACTTTAATTTGGGAAGGTTGAAGTCCTGCTTTTTCTGCTCGCTTTGCCACCTCTGTCGTAGGGCAGTAGCATCTTGTGACAAGCTTATGAAACCTGAAAAAGAACAGTGAAAAGATACGAGATATACAACATCACAAGACAAATAAGCAATTGGGTTGTGGGTTGTAGGAACACTAACTACAAATGTAGATCATACCATGTAGGATGGCAAGTGCATAAATCTGTCACAACTGTAGTAAATACGATCTTCTTCAGAAGACCCTTTGCCCTCAGTATACGAAGAGGAACATGTTGCATCAGAGGATGCACACTGATAATAATATCTGGCTGGTATTTCATCAGTCCTTTTGCAACTTCCCTGTAAATATACAACAAAGAATCAACAGACATTTATAAAATGGGTTATGGAACTTAGTAATATATCACTGCCAGAAGCCCAGATCTGACTTTCAAGAACTGAAATAAGAGGTCCTAGTGAGAAGGTCAAAGGAAAACTTTCAACAGAAATACTACTTTCACAATTTACACTTTTTGATCACGTATTTGGAGATGGAAAAAGTATCCTCGTTAAACAGAACTTTGGAACTGCTCCATACCATGAAAAGCTAACATCTTGGTTCAGAACTAAATAAAATTTTCAACTGATAGACTGCATCCATGGTGCCCAGATACAAATAGAAACAGCAGAATGCAAGATACAAGGATAAAATCCCCATTCCTAAAATCTTGGACATGGACATTGGTACAGTATCCCATTAAATAATAACTATATCATATTTTTATGTATAGCGAGTCCATTGCTTGATGTTATACTAAACTCTTGGGCAAACAAGCATGAGAACATGGGTTTGAGTCTGAGTTGTGTGTTGACAACCCATTACAATACTTTGATTTGGATTTTTTGTTTACTTGATTTAGTCGGGGGTCTCTTGTATGTATTTGGGAGAGACCGGTTTTTTGTTGACTTTTTGTATAGTTGTTGGCTGTACATGGAGTTTTGTGGACCAAAGGTTGTAATGTGTTACAGTTATACTCATTAATACAATTACCTTACTTTTTCTCAAAACAAAAAAAAAAATAGTAAGCAACCCCACTCTATTACAATTGAACCCAATACCTTTACTGTTTATGAACTCCTCTAAACCATCCACCAATCCATTATATGACCTTACCCAACTTACTATAATATTCATACCTCTTGAGTCTTGACAGCCTTTTGAATTGCCTGAATTTTCTAAATTAACAAACCACCCCCTCTCCTTTCTTCAACCACCTAATTACTATCTTAGAATCCCCTTCAATCACCAACCTTGTAAATCCCATTTCTTTAGTTTTTTTGCAATTGGACCCAAATACAATCCCCATATGTTGCCACCCTCATCCCTTAGCACACCCTCAATTCCTGAAGGACCAGGATTGACCAAGTTACTGCCATCAAAATTTAACTCCATCAACCACCAATTGAGAGTGACCAAACCTCAAGGAATTTTTGTTTCCTCAAGGAGTCCGCTATTGTCCCCCAATTCCTAAAGATGTCCTCCATTGTAAAATCTGAAAACAGATTCAAAGTCTTTACCCAATGTGCCACTCTTAAGGTTACTAATTCAATAATTGTATCCTTACTATTTCATTGCTTCCCTTGTACATCTCCTGATAATTCTGCCCCTTTTTTGTGCTCCTCAGAAAGGATGGGCTGAACAGCCTATCCAAACTAGCAGGGGGGTCCACCTACAGCCAAAAAAAGAGCAAAACCATTCCCAAATACAGCAAATAAAGGGACAAGAGATTAAGAGATAGTAAGCAGTCTCACCATTCAACTTACACAAGATACACCAGTGGGGGAACAAGACAGTTTAGTTTTTTCCTTTGCAGCTTATCACAAGTATTGATGCACCAATGGAGAACTTCCTAGCAAAAAGTAATGACTTTTGGGGGGATTGGAAGTTGGAACACAGCAGACTTCTCTTACAAGAAAGAAAGGAGAAGTGGTAACAAGAGAGGAGAAAAAATATTTACAAGAAAACAAACCAGAAGGGTTGAGGGACTAAACCCAACTATTAGTTGCAGAATCATCATAGACCACACAGTCCAAGAGGCCTAACAAGATAGACACTGAAGAAATCTTACTCTCTAAGATTCCTTATTAGACCCAAATTCCAATTTAACCTAGTCAAGGAGGGGGACACAATGAAATAAAAAACAGGTCTTTCTCTGAGGTTTGAAAGAGCAAACAAAGAAGGAAACACATCTTTCAAAGGGGACTCCCCAATCCAAACATCTTCCCAAAATCTGATCCTATTACCAGGCACCAAATCATACCTGACATGAGCAAAAAATTAAGGGAGAATACCTTGAATAACTTTCCATGGTGTGGCGAGGTTAGCTCTTTACAGAATACTGGCATCCCATCCATTACCCGATTAGACACCACTTTACATCAGAACCTCAATCTCCAAGGGGAAGCGCCAAAGCCACTTGCTTAACATAGAGATGTTCATTCTCTATGTTCATTTTTCTTAACACTGAGATGTTCATTCAATTATCAAAAAAAAAAAACATAGATGTTCATTTTGCTAATATTATCAATTCCCAATCCACCTTCCTCTTTTCTTTTTTGTCACCTTCTCCCATCTCACTAAATAATGTTTTTTTTTTACTTCTCTCATCTCCCAAAGGAAATCCCTCATAAGTTTCTCGATTATTTTCACCATAACCTTAGGAATCCTAAAGACCAACACAAATAAACAGGGAGATTAGCCAAAGTGGATTTGATCAAAGTGATTCTCCCACCTAGTGAACTAGTCTTTTCTCTATTCTATCCACAACCGGAGCCCAAAAGCTAACTGATCTCAGATTGTCACCTAGAAGTTAGCCCTAAATATCATAAAGGCCACTCCCCACTCTCACACTCCAAAACTTTTGCCATAGACCTCAAATCCACCTCTTCAACATTAATTCCAGCCATCATACTCTTATTCCAATTAACTTTCAAATTGGACATTCTTTCAAAGAGGCTTGCCACCAATTTCAAATTCTCAACCCCATCTACTCTCCCCATAAGCCAACAGATATAAGGATGGACTTAAGAGTCTTGGAAGCAGAGAAGGAAGATGTTATGGGAAATAGGAATTAACCTCAAATGGGCTAGAGTTCAAATCCCTTTCATAGAGAAGGGTTTCACTATTTATAGAAGTAGGGGAACAAGGTTACATGCATGAAGTAAGAATTCTAAAATAATCCTTAGCTTAGGTAATGCCAAGAGATAGATCCCATAGATTTCTCTCTTTGGAACATGTGTCTTTTGGGACCACAAGGCGATTAAAGCACAACCCTAGGTCTTCTTGGAGAGCAACACATGTTGGTACAGCACCCAAGTACAGCTAGTCATGGTTTCCCTAAGACACCGATCACGCATTTGACTCTCGGAGTTTAACCATCATTATACTCCGCTCACTAGGCTTCCTAGCAAGCTATGCAGAGTGCCTTGCGGAGTCTATAGAGTGAGCATGCCTCCACAAGGAAAGTTGTTCCGTTTGAGCAAGGGACTTGTCACAACATGGGGTTGAGGTTTCACGAGGCAATTTCTTGCAAGGCGGTCACTTGGCGTTGGCGAGGCAATTTCCACGAGGCAAATCATTATGACTTAGCGAGACGACTCCCATGAGGCAAGATTTAATGGCCTAACAAGGTGACTTTTGCGAGATCGATTGATACAGCCTTGTGAGGCAATTTGTTAAGCTAGGATGTTTTATCTTCAAGAGGCCAACTCAATTCTGTTTTGGCTGCGATCCTTTGTTGCCCTGCGAGGCTTTTGTTTAGCCATCTATTCTGGGTCTTACCATACATATCAATGAAAAATTACTTCTTTACCCTAAAATCAAGGTTCAAAATTTCGATACGATACGCCCTGGCATATCGTATCATATCGGTGGCTTCATGATATGCCTTTTTAAAGGGGTTTCGGGAACCACTCTTTTTTTAATAAAAAATATGGTTAAAAATATGCCCAAAAACCAAAACTTGAAGAAAAAAAAACTAAAAACAATATATACTTATTGTCCTACAGATACACAGGGGCATATTGATATTTTAAACCTTGCCGAAAATATATACTTACTGTCCTACATTCTCCATCACAAAAAATCAAGATATCACCCACAAACTAAAGATGGGTTACCATCACCCTATCCCTCCCCACAATCCAACCTTTATACAATTGTAATTGATTAGCTCAAGAGATCTGCCTGCTCAAACCACCCACCACCAAAGTATAGTGGAAAGGAAAAAGGAGGTCACCCTATCTAAGACCTCTAAAAGCTTCAAAAAAATCCACCACTAAACCATTAGCAATCATTGAGAAGTGACTAGACTGCAAGCATCCTTTGATCAAGTTACATCATAAAGAGAGCAAGAACCAACATTGGGTAATGACCTTTACATTTTTGTGTCTAGTATTTGAAGCTAAATGCCATTTTAAACAGATTTTTTATAGTGTGGTATGGTAAAATATACCTTTTTTAAAAAGTCTTGTATTTCAAATCAAAAACTTATTTGCATCCCTCTATACATAAATCCACAAGGTATTAAGATGACCCAAAAAAATTCACAGCCAAAAAAGAGAGAATGGAATTACTCTCATTAAAAAAACAATAATAACTACTATATTTCAACCAAACTCTAATGAAATCAAAAGATGGGTTAATGATATGCTCAACAGGATGGTCCTTGGATTGAAACCAATGTTTTAAAAACTGACCCAAGGCTGAACCGTTTTTGCCTCTGGTCATAGATCACTAGTTCAACCATCCAGATCAAACGGGTCAGACCGTGACATATCAGCATGTGTATAAAGATGTGCTTTATCAATAAAATAATTTACAATTATATGGCTACATGTAATATTTTATTCATATTTTCATAAGAAAAGTATCAACTTCATATTAAAGTATAGAAAATCAACATATTCATGAGAAGAAAAAGAAGAAGGAAAATAAAATTCAAAAAATATAGGGGCTGAACCCTTATTTTTGTTATAGGAAAAGAATAAAAGAAAACGTATTGGTAGTAGTAGTAGAAGTAGAAGAAGAAGAAGAATATACGGAAGAATAAAATGTGCTGACTAGATAAAATTGTAAGTTCTTCCTTACTTATTGGTTCAGGTTTTGARGTCTTTGAGGGTTCAATACAGCATTTAGCAATGTTTGTGTTGATTAAACCCTAATAAATAAGAAAACAATAAAAAGAAATTAGTATATAAACACACRAAATGATTATTTTAGTTTAATAATGTCTATTTTATAATTATAATCTCAAAAAATAATGAACAAAAAAGTATTTTATAGTAGGAAGTAAAGAACTGCTTGGTGATTAGTCGAGGCGAGCCTCAAAAGGTGCCTTGTCGCCTAGGCGTCACCTTGACAACTATGATGTAATATATGTATATGTATGTACTATTTTATGTTTAATTTATACTTTTCATTTTAGTTTTTAGTTTTTATTTATAAAAATGCTAAAAGTTGGGGTTTGAGGCCAAAAAAAGGGGCTTTTTTTGGCAAAAAATAGCGGGGCAAGGCACATCATTTAAGGCATTATTGTTGTCTTGTCATTGCATTCTCAACTCACCATATATGCCTAGTTGTGAAAGGCATTCTTAGTAACAAAATGAAAGATCCTTGATGTCTAATCTTAAGAACTAGTTGCAACTTCAGCCTCAATGCCACAAATCGAGTGAAAAGTTACTCATTATAGATAAATGGCCGACTCTAATCATATTTTCTGCTTACTGGGTTGTCCCTTAGAATTCTGAGTGTGTTGTCAGTTGTCACATCTACTTTCCTCAACTACTATCTCAGGTATTGGTTAACTGGTAAAGGTTTAAGGTTCTCAGCTGCAGTCCAATGATGTGAGCACCTGGATACTAACATTCTTAGTATACCCATGTTAAAAATACCAACCGTTCTGCTTCAATTACTATCAATCTGGTTTCCCTATTGATGCCAAGAAAACAGAAAACGACAAGATTCTTCGGTAGTATTAAAAGAAAGGGAAGAAGAAACTTACCGAGCTATAAATGTCGAAGTTGCAGCAAAATTGGATTGATGCACCAACCGCGGAGCAGACCCGTAATATGTCATCTTCCAGAGTGGCCCGTGCTTCACCAGAAAGCTATAGCTCCTCGGCAATTGATTAAACGGCCAAGGGGTGTGATCTGTCCACAAATCCGTAACAAAAACCTGCGCAATTCACTCTAACACACTGAACATGATCAACAAATGGTGGAATAAGTCCTACATAATAAGAACCAACGTCATACTATAACAAATTCGAACTGACCTGATACTCATCTCCAAATTCTTCATCAAATGCCGCTTTGATAGCCTCAGCTGAAGCTCTATGACCACCACCGGTGTCACTCATCAAAATAAGCACCTTTTTTGGATTCTCCGCCTCAACCCCGTTCATGTTCATCCCCTCCTCCTCCAAGACACCACACCCATCTTCTCTCAATCCGTTTTCCCCAGTCGAAACACCAATGGAAGCAAAACCAATGGGGATTCTATCGCAGTGCAACCTAACAGCTTTGTTAAACTCCCTCCAAATCCTCTGTACCCTTGAAGCACCGCCGCCCAAACCCAAAGAAGCCACGACCTTGGGCTTCTTTTCCATGACCAGACCCCCAAATCCATCACTACGCAAGAAATTAGACAAATTTGAAGAGTACCCATTAGAACCCAAATGATAAAACCCTCTAGAATCTAAGGAAAAACAATCCAACTTGCATAGAACGTCGAAAAAATTTATGGGTTCTTGAGCAACAGCTGGAGTAGGCATTGTTTCGTATTGCAGGTCCTATCGGAACTCAACCAATCAATCCATCGGAATCCTTGTCGTGAAGAAATTAAATATGGATTACTTCCAAAGAAGGAACAGAAGAAAACAAAATAGAAGTAATGCAGTAGAAAAGGGCAAAGGGGAAGTGCAAACAAAGGTGAAATGATGTGACTTTATCGGGAGAAAGACACCAGGAGACGGTAGTTAGCAGGTGGTTGATACTCAGAGAGAAGGGGAGGGAGAGGAGAGGCGTTGGGATGAAATCTGACAGTGGAATTGCAACCACAGAGAGAGGAATGGTGTGAAGAAAATTCTTCGATTGTGCCATGTGCATTTTCTAAATGAATCCATGGAGAGAACAGAGAAGACAAAGCTCCCACTATCCCACTATGGTGTGATTTTGTCTGTTTATTTCATAAATAATTACAGTCTGGGACTAGAGACTGGGCCCACAAAAAGTATTGAACGGTTCAGATTTTTCATATGGAGAGCTTTTATGTCATCAGATTGGAATTTATTCAACACCGACCCCACCTTGTAATGTCCCAAAAGTCCCGTCTGGCACTAATCCATGGTCAAAAAGCTGCCCTTCTTTTATGGGACCCATCATGAACCATTGCAATGGATGATCTAAAATCTGCTTTTGGAATTTCCCGTGTGGGCCATACCTTGGACGGTGCAGATCAGCAGATGTATTGGAAACAAGTCAATTCAAAGATCATGTGATTGTTGTGTAAGACTGTGAAAGCATCCATGTTATTCTAACTTCTACTTCTACCGTGCAGTTCACAATCACATACAATGCAATTGAAGTAATGGGACCCATTTGTTCGGGTAGCCCTCAGATGGACCTTATACCCAACAATCTGCTTAGATCCTATGATCTATGCCCTTCGTTTGGTTGCCACCCCTCGTCATCCAACGGTCAAAACAGAATCACCATCCAACAAAGAACACGTCATTTCGGAACAAATTTCAAATTTGATCTGGAAAAATGCCTAGTTGCAACTTGCAAATGAAAGGGGAAGGTTAATCGGGCTGATGGCATGTCGGGTCGGATCATAATATCCCAAACCCGTGGGGGACCAAGGGGTGGCCTGTACGGTTGATGTGGATAGTATATTTGGTCCATTTAGAAAGGTGGACGGTCAAAAGAAGTAATCCACCACCGTCCGGTATGTACAAATGTGGATCCCCCATCAATCTGTTCAGCACCGTCCATGGTGAGTGGACGGGTCAACACTGCACTTGATACCGACCCGATCGTGTTGCATGGTAATATGGTATGAGTGCATATTTGACTTTTGATCACAAGGGTGTCCGACTCAAGTACGACCTAAGTCAATAATTTAATATGTATAGTTCATACACGTTTTTCATGGTTTATATATTATTTAATATATATATATATATATCTAAAATTATTATTTTAGATATAACATTTTAATAAAGAGAATAAATGCAAGTAGATTTATCTAAGAAAACAACAAGTTAAATGCTTATAAAAATAATTATAGCTATAATCAACCGCGAAGCTGCAGGAATTTTTCTCTTTGGAGACCGGTTGATGAGGGAGAATGGGGAATGAAGGGTAGGTGCACTTAGGGTAAGTATTGTTCAGTCTCCGATCCAACCCAAAAAGTTTGATTTGAAGTTTCTCTTAAGGTTAGGGTTAAAAATATAAATCCTATTTAACTTCACGTTAGACTAAGGTTGAGGTATTGTTCAATCTAATACTACAATATGAAAAATCTAGTCCAAACAAATTGGATTGACCGGGTGAACCCCCAAAAAATATAGTTGTTAGGTTAAAGTTAAAATTGGGGTTTCAACATATTGAGTTGGGTCATGGTTGAGATCAAGGCCTCATTTGCTTTTTGACAAATTATTTACTTGGATAAATGCATTTATTTGGGTAAGTGTATTTATTCATGTTCTTTTATTTTCTAGTTAAATAAAACAATGATCATTTTAGCCATAAAAATTTTATTATTAAAAGGGGTATTTTTTTCCTCATCCAAGTGTTAGCAACTTTTCCCTATATGAGAAAGTTAATTTATGAATAAGTAATAATAAAAATTTCCCTGATCTCCACAGTCCCATTGGCCAACTTTCCCCCCTCTCAAAATCCCAAAAAAGAATGCCCCCCCCCCCGAGTATTAACATGACTTAGTCCCACTGGTTGTTTTATCTGTTAATATATATTTATCTCTTATCCAAAAAAAGAAAAGGAAGGGGAAGAAGAACCCCCATCCAATAACTTGGCTTTGACCTTGGATATGATCATTAAAAAAGGAAAATTACAGAGATGTACCCTATATTTTCAAAGAGAAAAACCCTATGAACACCCAACTCGTGGAATACACTATAAATGTGATGAAATGTAAAAAAAAAAAAAAAAAAAAATAGCAAAACATTAAAGAAAGGAGCAGAACTTACATTGATGAAGTCAAAGGGAAAAATCTTTCAAAATTGGTGGAGAAATGCAATGGCTACCGCTAAAAGATGAATTGGCTGCTGCTATAGGCCTGAGACACTATTTTAGCGGCAATAGCGACTGCCGCTAAATCTACGTATATTTTTTTTCATAAAATCTATATATATTTTTTAAATTATTTCTGTTTTGTCCATGGATTATTGTAATCACACGCTGCATTGCTTTATTTACTATGTTTTAGAAATTAGAAACTGATAAAGTGTCTATCACTTGACTAAGTAGTCAATGAATGGTATGGAGAATGATCAACGGTGATCTGATTGCATACATGGAACTAAATTTAAAACTAAATAATCTCATATGCTACTCATGTCTATTCAATACAACAAGTTTGACCTTAGGAGACAATCCTAGCTGGAACTTCATTGAATGGGTCCATCAATAAAAGTCAACACAGCCCAAATATTTTGTACCAATGAACTTAATAAATATAAAACCTTATAAACAACTTGATAGAGTAGTTTAAAAGATGAAAATATTTTCAAGAGATAATATATTATTGCCATTTCAAAGCATAAGCATTTACAAGTTACACCCAAATAATCAGACTTCACAGCACTACACATGGTCACAAAAGAGCCACAAAGCAGCAGCAGCAGCAGCAAAACATGCATTTTATTAGAACGAACCACACATCCATGACCATTGAGTACTACATACATCAGACCTATATCCATGGCAATTGGTCTTCATACCTGCAACAAAAGAAGATTCACAAAAGGTGTCAGTAATGGGTCTAAACAACATTGTTGAAAATATCATTGATACTTGAAGCATCCACTCAAGGGTTTTAATATGATTTTGGAAAACAATTCTATTTTTGGCTGTCCAAACTACCAGTCAAGCCAAGAAAACCAACTGTTGATTTTGACCATGCATGCAACTTGCTTGAACAAATACCCCAAAGAGAAACAAATATAACAGTTCTTGTTAGAAAACCAACTGTTGTTGATTTTGACCATCCATACTATTGCTACATATTTTCATAAGGCCTTCTTCCAACTAATTAACTTAAATAATTCTGAACCTACAACTGTCTTAAGAAAAACAACACTACCTGTATAAACTGTTAAAGTTAAAGTGCCTATATCAATACCACTTACAGGCGATCCTAAGGCAAATGCCCACGTACAGAAAATATGGGGTTCTAGAGATGGACAGAGCAGTCACATTCATGAAAAAAGAAAATGGGGAAAAGTTGAATCTCTTGAACAAAATATTGTGAGCCCACACAAATAGTCCCATTCTATAAACAAACTGTTATACTGAATATTTGAATGCAAATGATGGGTTCTTAGGATCACAAAATTTATAATAATTCGTGTGCACAGTACAATCAATAGTAGTACATGGTGGCTTATTTACAGGACACAGAGAAATGCTTTCTTGGCCACAAAGAACAAATACACCCATCAATGCTAAAGATTATTCATACATAATATTTATCCGCGACAAGGATTTGATCATTAATTGGGTTGTTTTCATTTTTCAGATAAAGTCCACCTTAATTTAGTAATCAATCTCTGCAAACTGCAGCAAATAATTGTTGTACAACTAGAACATAAGTAGATATTGAGATCCCAATGAATTTTGATGGGTTACTAGGAAACCACAAGAACATTCAAATGAATTTGAATAACATGGCTTTTGGGGTTTTCATCCAGAGCTAGACTAGCACTGGGATTACTTAGATCACCAAGTGGGAGTGGGCCCGGGCTTTGGTTTTACTGTTTTAGTGGTGGCCATGCATGAGATCTAAATGCAACATTTGATGGGGCCCAACCCAATTAGGAGACAAACAAGGCCAAGAATGGGATAAACTAAACCACTTTATTAACTTAATTCATTTTGGACTTTGCAGAGAACCACATCAATGTTAGAAAGAAATAAATAAGATTTACAATGCTGTAGCCCATCATGCTGCTCTTTTCCCTATCTAGTAGACCAGTGTGGCTGCAAGCTGAGAGAATAGACAACCACAATCATATAAAAAGAATACTTGACATGGTTTAAAAGGAATACTTCCTAAATGGGCACCATCAATGAAGAACATTTATTATTAATTGAGTATTAAAAATACTAGTTAGCCAAGTGTTTTCTTTAATATAATAGATGTGGTAGTGTGCTTGAACAATTAGAAAATTTATATAACAAGTATGTGATAAAATAATTTTATATGTTGAAATTTTTTATGGAAATAGATGGAAGTTAAATGCATTTCAATTTGATGTACTTATAGAATTGGATTTATAAAAATATATGAGGTTGGAAGGCTGTACTTTTGTTACTCCCTATGTAAACAAAAGTATTTATTACTGAGGAAATAAATACTTATGTGCATAGTAATCCAGTTTATCTTAGTCGTCCTTTTGCTTTTTTTATGTTATTCATGGTGATTGCCTTTAAATGACACAAGTAGGTGGAACGTTAGTGTCACATTACAAAATATTTATGGTATATAGACATGCCTATCATTTTGTTTTTTATTATGTATGTTGTCATCTACTCATTTAAAAAAAAAAATAATTGCAATACATTTTTAAATTTTAATATTGTAGTAATGCATACATCATGTATGTAGGAAGTTTAAATTGATTTTAAGTACTATCTTGTGTTTGACTTTCTAATAACATGTTGCATTTACTCACCTTCCAATAATATGTTTTTTATATATGTAGTTATTGGAATAATCATTCTAATTGATTTCACTCTTTCCAAACTGAGCTAAAGAAAAGATTGGTGTGTTTGTTCAATTTTCAAAGGAAACTATGTTGTTAAAAACATACATAAATTCATTTTTATTTTACCCCCTTTGTATGTTAATCTTCTCCAAATTTAGAGGACCTACAAGCTAGCTAGTTTATGTCTTTTCCATAC